AAGTGAGACTCATGGAATGTTCTGGGCAGTCATTGGCAACATTCCCAAAGACAGTCTGCCTTAGGGCTGCACCTTTTCCTCCAGGCAAGGCAGCCTGGGAGTGATGGCCATGTGCATGTGACCAGTCATGGGAGGGCCATCTGATGACTCATGTAACTCAAAACATCAGCCCGGGAGCATCTGCAATGGTGCTTAGTGCTGCAAGTGCTGTAGTGCTTGGTCCTGGAGGGTGACATCTGTGTTCATTTATTTGTTCACTTGTTAATTCATTTATGAGAGTTGTTGAGTGCCTCCTATATGCTGCTATCCAGGAGTTTACGTTGTAGTCAATCTAGTGCTGGAATCTTCTAGAGATGCAAATCTTTGTGGTCAGATTGTCTCCTTATTCTGAGGGTCAGTAGAATGAATAAACGCCATGGCTTAACCTGCCCTTCACACGCACCCTAGCTCTACGTGCTCGAATGAAGCCACATGACCGGCAAGTAAGGTAAAAATCTTCTCACCAAAACCTTGGTATGTAACTGACTCTTGTTCTAAGCTGCAGAGTAATCTAATGGGTGATGTAGCTCTTATGCACACACGTGCATTTAGTCTTTTCTCCCCCCTCACATTTGTGACAACTCATTCCTATTGGTTAGTTTACTAGAAGGACTTTATCAGCAAAAATAAATGATCAGCTTCATTTGTAGGCCCTTCCTACTACAGTAAAAGCCCTTATTCAAAGATATATAGATACAGATAAATATATGTGTGTATATATAGTAGTCTTCCCTTATCTAAGGGGGATATATTCCAAGACCCCTATGTTTACTATGTTTCTTCCTGTATATAGATACCTATGATAAAGTTTAATTTATAAACTAGGCACAATCAGAGATTAACAACAGCCATAATAAAATAAAACAATTATAACAATATACTGTAATAAAAGTTATGTGAATGTGGCAACTCTTTCTCAAAATACCTTAATATTTTCAGACCGCAGTTGATTGCAGGTAATTGAAAACAAGGAAAGCAAAACCGCAGATAAGGGGAGATACAGTATAAGATATAAATAAATATACATAGAGAAAGAGAGAGAATATCAATCTGAATGTTTTAATAGCCATAGTCTTTAGAGTGAAATAATAGAGCAGGTTGTCTTATCTTTATAGCTCCAATGACTCAGCACATGATGGAAGCCCAATTAATGTTTGTTGAACTAATATGAATTATTGAGTGTTTCTAATCCATCAAATCAACAATTCTTAGGGTTGAAAGATCTTTAAAATCAATAGACCAAAGTGACTTCCATTAAAACTATTTTTCACTAAGATGATCTTACATAACTATTTCACCTTTGGAGTTATTTTCAAAAACCTTCTTCGTAGTCCCCTTTTCTAGTGTTTCTCTCGAATCAATCCATAGATACACACATCTAAACATCACCAGAAGTGATGTTTTGAGATAAGATACCACCTGTCATCAACAGGCCATGACCCCTGGCAGCCCGTGTGCCTCTCTTTACATTTCAGAGTTCATGGGTAATGAGCCTCTCCCATTGAC